TATATAGCAAACTCGTTCTTGTTCAATTCCACAACGATAAGGAAAAAACAAAACTTATAAGAATGCAATTTCAACATAATAACACTCCGATAACTTTCATTAATTCTAATCACTTCGGATCTGTTATTAGGTGTTACAAGCCTTCGCTTTGTTAGGAATTTAATAGTTATTCCAATGCTTTACAAAATTGAAGAATCTTTACAATGTAGTCTCTACACGCTATAGGAATATTGATTAACCTGCGTTGAACAAAGTTTAAACTGTATCCAGTCTCCTCTTCAGATGTTCCTTCTAACAGTGTAAATTTGTCTGAAAATTCTACTTAAGTATTGAGGTGAGATGTTTGTTTGCTAAAAATTCTTTGCTAGTTTGCTCGAAATTAGGTCTTCTAAATTACTGAGAGTGTTAGTCTTACTGAAAATCACTTTCTAAATTACTGAAAGTGTTAGTCTTACTGAAAATCACTTTCTAAATTACTGAGAGTGTTAGTCTTACTGAAAATCACTTATGTTTTGGATGGACTGTAAGATTGTAAATTAATAAATAGTGTTAGTCGAGACCCACTACACATATACACAGATATACAGTGTAGTGATTTCTCTTCAGTAAGCCAGGACAAGGCTAATTATGTGATATTGTACCTATACCTTGCATATACACCTCAACATTGAGACTGTATCCTTGACATACTGGATTAAAACATTAAAAAAAAAAACACTGGGGTTATCGGGTGTAAAGATAGATTTACAAAAACATATGACCTCACGTTGTTTGTCATCGACTGTGTAGTTATAATGATACCGTAATGCATACTGGGTTTGAATCATGGAGCCCTTTGCTCACTGCTACGACATAGACTCGCTATTCAATATGTAGATATTAATCACATTACAGCTAAGCTTTTCCCAACCTTAAAAGTCCCGCTCCCTGTTTCATACATGCCATCCCGAGCGTGGCAAATCAGTTGCTGCTCTTACACCTACGAACATTTCCAACTGCGTCATATAAAATATCTACACAAATTCATGAACAATGAGAAATAGGTGTCGGTAAATTTAGGTCCACTATCATGTTTTACAGCCTTTACTCCTCTTTGTAAAATTTCATCTCCACACAAAGAGGGACGATAAGGTACACCTAATGATGTGTTTCTCTTTTGAACTCCGAAAGAAAATCTGCATAAATCTTCAGATTGTAGATTTCCCTTAAAACGGTCAGTTAATGATCCAAGATCATTTCTGTAGTGAGGTATTTTCTGTTATGAAAACAAAGGCTTCCTGACCATGAAGAGGGATTTAAAGTTCAGAAGGATGTTTTAGAACAGATCCAAAGCTGTTGCACCTCCTTGACAAAGAGTTTATCTATAATCTGGATATAAACCTTCCTCGGGTACACAATCGTCTCAAACATTGCTGGATTGTGTAGGACCCACTAATACCAAACTAACAAATCCCCTTGTGTCTGTACAAAAATGTCGGGTCAGCTTAACTATGTTATAAACATTTTTTTTTTATTTCTATATCTTTAATTCCTTATTTAAAATAGATAAATTATTCTATTAAGAACTCTCTTATTTCATGACTCCATGGAGAACAAATTTTTATGAAATCTACTGTAATGTTTTTGTCTTTAGTGATGGGTGTTGATGTTATGAGATGACAGGTAATCCGAGATAGCAACACAACAGTACATGAATCCCAAATCTGACCAACCCCACCCAACATCAGCCGTGAGAAAAAAATCCTTACACCATTTTATGGAGCTTGTGAATGCAGTTTGACTGTGCCTGTAAACTTGTACAACACTTATGTTATTTCTCTTGGGAACTAGATGAAAGATCAGTATTCCAAACAATAAATTCTTAGTAGTAAGATCAACTTGGTGTTAAAATATTCGAAAGTCTGGCAGTAAAATTTTGGTTAGTGTTTTGAGAGATCTCTGAATACACTATGAAACATACAACAAAAGCTTCTTGTTTTTTTTTAAATATGATACAAAAGTCACCTGTCTCATAAGCATCATGTTTAATGTATGTTTGATGATGACCACTACGGAGTTGACTTAACAAACATCTTTATTTCCCGATAAAGTAGACGGTATTATGCCTGGTGAAACAACTTCTTACAAGTTCTCAGGCACTTTTCTGCACATTGTTAAATATGTTCATAATCTAAAGATCTTTTATGCAGCCAATATATAAATGATGCACAGTCTATGCTCAATAGTAAGTGTTCCCCATTAGGAACAGCAAGTTTATAAATGATGCACAGTCTATGCTCAATAGCAAGTGTTCCCCATTAGGAACAGCAAGTTTATAAATGATGCACAGTCTATGCTCAATAGTAAGTGTTCCCCATTAGGAACAGCAAGTTTATAAATGATGCACAGTCTATGCTCAATAGCAAGTGTTCCCCATTAGGAACAGCAAGTTTATAAATGATGCACAGTCTATGCTCAATAGCAAGTGTTCCCCATTAGGAACAGCAAGTTTATAAATGATGCACAGTCTATGTTCAATTGTAAGTGTTCCCCATAAGGAACAGCAAGTTTATAAATGATGCACAGATAGTGTTCAGTAGTAAGTGTTCCCAAATATCAATGTCTGGTTTATTGGGCCTTCTACTATTGCAAATAATTTCCAGTAATTTCAGCTTGTATATGTGCCTGTTGATGACTGATATGTACAGAAAGCTGCAAAACAAAGCAACTGCAGACTGCATAAGTGCCAACAAATACAGAAGACCAAGCCACGTGGCAGGTAATTAAAAGGTAGCACTTTCATCACCCTTCTCCTTGTCCAATTTTCAGAGAACTACTGACCTCACAGTCAGGTACATGATACATGCAGTTCTCATAAAGAAACTATTGGATAAACTGACTGGCGATGAACTCCTGTGGTTAATTAGCAATTAGGTCTCTTTTCCAAAGGTCAATCTGCTATGAAGTGAAAACGATGCTGTAAATGGGTCTCTTATAGAGAGTATATCTGCTGTAAAGTTTAAACAATGCTGTAACTGGGTCTCATATACAGAGTATGTCTGTTGTAAACTTTAAACAATGCTGTAAACGGGTCTCTTCTAGAGAGTGTATCTGTTGTAAACTTTAAACAATGCTATACTTGTGTCTCATATACAGCAGTATATCTGCTGTAAAGTGCAATCAACATGTCATTGAGATCATCACACTGTTATATCATTGAGATCTAATTTTTATTTTTCATTATTTTTAAAAATTTACAACTTGCAATGATATTACAAAATAGATAACCTGGCACTTTTGAACATTTTGTTATATTATTCAAACCATGAAAAGTAACTTTTTTTTTCTTTGAAATTATAGAATATTGTAAAGATCCTGGATCAAAGAGAACAAGTATCTACATGTTACCAGTAAAGAAATGCACACTACTACTTTTGTACCAAATGAAAATGCAGGTCACACCACCACAAATATTTTATCTTTATCCAAAGTAATGTATTGATTTGAAAAACGGCCGCACCTAGAATTTTTTTTCATATTATATGTCAATCAATTATAACATTTGATAGTCCTCATGGAAGATATTGCTATATAATTTCACAGAAAGCCAGACATATACATGAAAATTGAGAGGCCACTACCACGGAGGTCAGCTAACCTGTCCAGGTAATGGAGGGTCATTACTTCGGATGTGATATGTATATATATAACTGGGCTATCAAGGTTCAAGGGCCAACCAACAACATGACAGGAGTCAAACTCAAAATGGTTTGATGTGGTCTTCAGTGTCAAAGAGATGTTTGTAAATCTACAGATCTGTCATTCTATATCAAACTAGGAACTGACACCAACAATGTATGAATCATATAGCTTTCCTCTTAATGCAACCAGGTAACGCATTGTTCATTTCTTTTCTCTGCTTGTTATATTTCTACTTACACTTCCAAACTACAGTATCAGCATGTGAGACAAGAAGGTAAACAAGACAGAGGTCAAAGGCCGTCTCAAATATTCTCTATCTCAAATATTCTCTAAACTTGCAAAATACCAGTTTACCTTAACATTAGACTAAGAATTAATGAAGTATAGACTTTCAACAAATTTTCATCACATCAAACAGAAAACTGTTATATCTCAAAGGATTTATAAAATCTCTTGGCTATTTCATATTAAAAGAGTCTAACAATTTGATTTTGCCTGAAGTTATATCTTAAACAACGTAAGAAATCTTTCTGCCATATGTTATACCTCAAACAACGTAAGAAATCTTTCTGCCATATGTTATACCTCAAACAACGTAAGAAATCTTTCTGCCATATGTTATACCTCAAACAACGTAAGAAATCTTCCTGCCATATGTTATACCTCAAGCAACGTAAGAAATCTTCCTGCCATATGTTAAATCTAAAAGGATGTATGAAACTTCTTCTTTTATGATCTATCAAAAAATTTGTTAGAAATCTCTCTACTGCGTTTTAAATCTCGAATGGTGTATTAAACTTCTTGGCAAATAAATCTGTTTTGTTTGATATCTCTAAACATGATCAGCTTATTGATTAGCTCCGCTAAATATAATGTGTAAGAAAGTTCTCAAATGCCATATTATATTTAAGTAACGATATATTGAGTGTATGACACTATAGTAGACTCTCAGTCACAAGTCAGTATAACTAACCAGTTTTATGGATGTTTCTGTAAGATGTTAACCACACATCCTACCATAGCCAATATACTTAAACATATACAAAGTACAGGACTTTCTAGACCTCGGACAAGATATTTATGATAATGATATCAGTTCTGCAACATCATTGTGCGGTGATAGTTTGTGACAATGAATATAAAATGGTACTTGTGAGGTCAGTGGCTACTAGAATTCGTGTGATATAATAGTAGGTAATGCAGACAGGATATTCAGGCCTGCCACAAAATTCTAGATCTACAGACAAAACTTTGAAAAAAACACTAAAGGTCAGGATTAATTCACTTGCATCTCCATTTTTTGTGTGCCAAATACATACCTGCAGACCTGGTAAGGAATGCAGGGGGCTGGTCTTCTCTCCATTTAAGGGACTTGCCCATATCCAAACCCTCTGAAAGTTCTTTGATGAAACTTTAAAACCTTAAATTATTTGTGTAATTCATTTGAATATAAATACTGGCAAAGTAAACGAAGGCAGGGGTTCATTATAGTCTGTGTTAGGAAGGCATCAGCTTGTTTTTATCTGTAAAGCTATCCCTACATCATAAAAACGGTTGAGATGGATTTCCTTTAGATGTGTGTCCCTACCTGTGGTGTAACAGTGGAATGATCTAACTCTTTCCTCCCGACAGTACTCCTTAATTACCTCTGTTTGAGACTCTCTTTATACGTCCCTACCTGTCTGAATCCTAGCTACCTGTGTGTCCTTACCTGTCTGAATCCCTCGCTATGTGTGTGTTTCTACCTGTCTGAATCCATAGCTACTTGTGTGTGTTTCTACCTGTCTGAATCCATAGCTACTTGTGTGTGTTTCTACCTGTCTGAATCCCTTGCTACCTGTCTGAATCCCTATCAACTTGTGTAGTCGCTACCTGTCTGAATCCCTAGCAACTTGTGTAGTCGCTATCTGTCTGAATTCCAAGCTACCTGTGTAGATTTTATCTGTCTGAGTCCTTAACTACCTGCAGTCACTACCTGTCTAAATATCTAACTACTTGTGTTATTGCTACCTGTCTAAATCTCTAGCTACCTGTGTTATCACTATCTGTCTAAATCTCTAGCTACCTGTGTTATCACTATCTGTCTAAATCTCTAGCTACCTGTGTTATCACTATCTGTCTAAATCTCTAGCTACCTGTGTTATCACTACCTGTCTAAATTTTTAGCTACCTGTATTATCACTATCTGTCTAAATCTCTAGCTACTTGTGTTATCACTACCTGTCTAAATCTCAAGCTACATGTGTTATCACTACCTGTCTAAATCTCTAGCTACCTGTGTTATTGCTACCTGTCTAAATCTCTAGCTACCTGTGTTATTGCTACCTGTCTAAATCTCTAGCTACCTGTGTTATTGCTACCTGTCTAAATCTCTAGCTACCTGTGTTATCACTACCTGTCTGAATCTCTAGCTACCTGTGTGTGTCCCTACCTATCTAAATCCCTTGTTACTATTCTAACCTTCTACTTATGTATGTCTGTCCTTATATCTGTGTCTGCCCCTTAATCGGTGTATGTCCTTGTACATGTCGATCCCTCTCTGTACCTGTGGTGTTTTCAGGCATGATGTAATAGCTTCCCTCGCAGATGATACAAACTAAGCCCATTCCTTCCAGCGTGTCTCTAAATACAAAATGAGGCAAAGTATCACCTGTGTTGTGTTGACTATTTAGGATCTGATTGAAAAGTGCTACTCAAAGGAGCCCCATGAAGATGTGTTTAATGAGTCTGAATCTTATCTGGTTTACAAAGCTGAAGTGTTGTGGGAGACTCCTACAAAACGACATTGACACACATACAACTGACCCTAAAACCATCTGTTATTCTCATCCTTTTATAGAAAAAATGCCACAAAAATGTTGACAATTTCAAACTTAGAGACAATTATTACTTCAATACCAAGCATGAAATAAACAGAAGTGAATGAAACGTGCCATGATACAAGACTTACACAGCAAACTTCAGAGAACAGGATTACAGCACATTTTAATTACAGCTATATAAATAGGTTGCTTTAATTAATTACCACGATATATAAATAAATCAATCCAAATTTAAATAAAAGCACAATAAAATGAAACTAATACATGTGAAAAAATGAATATTGATAAATTACATGTGATTTTTAATGGGCATTCTTTACATTCTAGTACCAGCTCGAGATGACATCAGGTATATCACAGCCTAGAAGATATTGGTTTTGTTCTTTCATAAGTCACATATTCATGATGTTTTTACAATGTAATAATAACTAATGTACCTGGTGTTGTATGTACTGTAGGGTCTACATGGTTATCTTACTAGTGTCTGTAAACAGTATCTACGAGGTTGTTACATATACCTTGACAGTGACCAGCCCCCAAATAGGACCTTGTTATCCTCAACATGCATGACTAGTCCCAAGGAGGACTTTCTTCACTGGCCCCCAGATAACCTTGTTACCCTGAGGATGACTGGTCCCCAGATAGGACCTTGTTACCCTGATGATGACTGGTCCCCAGATAGGACCTTGTTACCCTGATGATGACAGGTCCCCAGATAGGACCTTGTTACCCTGAGGATGACAGGTCCCCAGATAGGACCTTGTTACCCTGAGAATGACAGGTCCCCTTACAGGACCTTGTTACCCTGATGATGACTGGTCCCTTACAGGATCTTGTTACCCTGAGGATGACTGGTCCCCAGATAGGACCTTGTTACCCTGATGATGACTGGTCCCCAGATAGGACCTTGTTACCCTGAGGATGATTGGTCCCCAGATAGGACCTTGTTACCCTGATGATGACTGGTCCCCAGATAGGACCTCTTTACCCTGATGATGACTGGTCCCCAGATAGGACCTTGTTACCCTGATGGTGACTGGTCCCCTTACAGGACCTTGTTACCCTGATGATGACTGGTCCCTTACAGGACCTTGTTACCTTGAGGATGACTGGTCCCTTACAGGACCTTGTTACCCTGAGGATGACTGGTCTCTTACAGGATCTTGTTACTATAATGATGACTGTTCCCTTACAGGACCTTGTTACCCTGAGGATGACTGGTCCCCAGATAGGACCTTTTTACCCTGATGATGACTGTTCCCTTACAGGACCTTGTTACCTTGAGGATGACTGGTCCCTTACAGGACCTTGTTACCCTGAGGATGACTGGTCCCTTACAGGATCTTGTTACTATAATGATGACTGTTCCCTTACAGGACCTTGTTACCCTGAGGATGACTGGTCCCTTACAGGACCTTGTTACCCTGATGATGACTGGTCCCTTACAGGACCTTGTTACCTTGAGGATGACTGGTCCCTTACAGGACCTTGTTACCCTGATGATGACTGTTCCCTTACAGGATCTTGTTACCCTGAGGATGACTGGTCCCTTACAGGATCTTGTTACTATAATGATGACTGTTCCCTTACAGGACCTTGTTACCCTGAGGATGACTGGTCCCTTACAGGACCTTGTTACCCTGAGGATGACTGGTCCCTTACAGGACCTTGTTACCCTGATGATGACTGGTCCCTTACAGGACCTTGTTACCTTGAGGATGACTTGTCCCTTACAGGACCTTGTTACCCTGATGATGACTGGTCCCTTACAGGACCTTGTTACCTTGAGGATGACTGGTCCCTTACAGGACCTTGTTACCCTGATGATGACTGGTCCCCTTACAGGACCTTGTTACCCTGATGATGACTGGTCCCTTACAGGACCTTGTTACCTTGAGGATGACTGGTTCCTTACAGGACCTTGTTACCCTGATGATGACTGTTTCCTTACAGGACCTTGTTACCCTGATGATGACTGGTCCCCTTACAGGACCTTGTTACCCTGATGATGACTGGTCCCCTTACAGGACATTGTTACCCTGAGGATGACAGGTCCCCAGAGAGGACCTTGTTACCCTGATGATGACTGGTCCCTTACAGGACCTTGTTACCCTGAGGATGACAGGTCCCCAGAGAGGACCTTGTCACCCTGATAATGACTGGTCCCCAGGAATGACCTTGTTACCCTGAGGATGACAGGTCCCCAGAGAGGACCTTGTTACCCTGATGATGACTGGTCCCTTACAGGATCTTGTTACTATAATGATGACTGTTCCCTTACAGGACCTTGTTACCCTGAGGATGACTGGTCCCTTACAGGATCTTGTTACCCTGAGGATGACTGGTCCCTTACAGGACCTTGTTACCCTGAGGATGACTGGTCCCTTACAGGACCTTGTTACCTTGATGATGACTGGTCCCCAGATAGGACCTTGTTACCCTGATGATGACTGGTCCCCAGATAGGACCTTGTTACCCTGAGGATGACTGGTCCCTTACAGGACCTTGTTACCCTGATGATGACTGGTCCCTTACAGGACCTTGTTACCCTGAGGATGACTGGTCCCCAGGTAGGACCTTGTTACCCTGAGGATGACCGGTCCCCAGGAATGACCTTGTTACCCTGACAATGACTTTTCCCAAAAAGAACCTCAATAACCTAATGATGGCTGTCTCAAGAGAGGGTTTATTACCATGTAAGGATATTGTTACCGGGATGATTTCAGGAGAGAATTTTGATAGGTTTACAAGGACAACATTGCATTCATTGCAAAGTTGATGGAAAATGAAGTTGTTTGGAAAAATGAGTAGAAATACTTAGTTTGCAATTTTTAATTGATCTGACACATTTGATCTTACCAATTATACATTATCTGTAACAATTACATCGTTGTCAATTACACAAAACATTGCTTGAATGATAACTCATACATGAAGACTGCACAGGACAGTCTTCTTCACTGTTGCAGTGAACTCTTCTCTTCACTTACAAATATAACACAGGAGATGGGAACCCTTCTTCACTTCAACACAGACCAAGACTTTTCGCATTAAAAATTAATTGAACTAGTAATCCAGTCTGGGTTTTTTTTTATTTAATTTAATTATAATTCTAAAAGGTGATTTTTTTTTTTAAACAATTAGCCCAGTTATTCAGTAATGAAGGAGTAAAGATAGATATCCAATGCTTGGGTATATTATAGTACTAACTATAAATGAAATATCATTGGCACTGAGCCTTGTCTACGTGGTTGGTAGATAAACAGTCTTTATCAATAATTCCATCATTAATTAATTGGATATGTTAACCTCAGAGGTAGAAGTTAAATTAATTCCAAATGGCTCTTTATTGGAGTCTACTTTTTTTAAACAAAAAAAAAATCAAAAATTTTATGTGAATCATTAAATTAAAATATGATGTATATAGTTATGCATGTTTTAAATAGTAAATAAACTGGTTTATTTACAGCCATTTGCTTTGAAAATTCCATTTAAAAAATAACTGTACAAGTTCAATGCAAGCAAACTTCTGTTTAACCATAGGAATGTCAGGAAGCA